ACCGGAGACGCTATTTCCTTGAAATAAATCCTCAATTATCCTCACGAGGCTGAGTGGACCCCGTTCCAGACCCACTACTTCTCAGAAAATCTGGTAGTGCCGGGAATCAAACCCGGACCTCTGGATCTGCAGCGAGGAACTCTGACCACTAGACCACAGAAGCGGTCTGACGTTTTCATGACAGAGAAAAAAAATATGAAAGGTATAATTAATGCTGTTTCGAAGAAACATCGTAGTCTGATAATTAGATTACTGAAGCACGGTAAATGCGCATGAAAATGTGTGTAGGAACTTTTCTATTTACTACAAGTTCAGGACTCATCTGGGCCTCATTCAGCCCTATATGCAACGTACAGGGGAAGCTCCTTACCTTTGGGCAGAACAACCGGGGCGGGAATCTGACCAGTCACCTCCATAAATTGCCGCAATTATGAATGCGTGGAGCTTTATTTCCAAACCTCCACACATCCTCTTGGCGTAGCGCATGGTAGCAGCGACAATATAACATTTACGTGAAGTGTTTGAAAATTTACGCGTGTCTGTATGCAGTCTTTTCTCCGACTGACAAATTAGCTAGACTACATAATGCTGAACTGGGGACCGCCTGGATGCGTCTGCTTTACTCACGTTAACAGGTAGAGCTATCCCTGTAACGGGCCATGGAGGCCCATAGGGTTGTGAGACGTCGAGGTTCCCACAGCTCTAGAGAGTCAGCTCACAGATGGCGCTGACGTCATCATTCTTATGCCCCGGCCTCCCGTTACCCTCATGAATATTCCTGGTGCTCATTTCTGTTAGAGGCTAAGTCGATCCCAGAGCCGTAGTGCGGCTGGAAGGATTAGGTCAATTGAAAAATCCAATGGCTTCATCGGGAATCTAACCCGCGACATTCCGGCCTGTAGCACAGTGCCTCAACCAACTACGCCACCGCGTGCCCCCGCTTTACCCAGAGGTAAAAAGAGTTTGGTACCGGGTGGAGAAGAGCGTGGGCAGTCTATAGAACCGGTCTACACCTGACGGTGAAGATAAAGGTCCTGCCACTGCCAGTAATCGAAACGGGATCTTCCAACAGATAACCCTTCACGTCATTGACTGACCTATCCCGTCTCGTAGAAAGCTGAGGTTAAACCCAGAATTTAAAGTTATCAGTTAATTTGATGTTGATTTTTAAATATAGAATTATACACGAATGGGATCGATTATTTTCCTTATGACAAAACGTTATACCCATACTGCGCATGCGCTAAAGGCAAAATACGTAAAAATTCAGTTACTCATGCACGACAAAGTGGATGACCATTATGACACCCCAGAGAGAATTCTAAACTGCAACGTGGGTTAGAATCCTTATTAGAATGACCTACAAGCTTAATGTTACATGTGCCAC